TACCCACACACATACACATTTACTTAAACGGTACTTCCTCCTATTCACAATACCTGCTCAGCAGACACACACTCACAACCACACATCCTTGTACTTGGATCAAATTACATTTTGGTGTGTTTTGTTTTATCTTCAAAGTAATGTACGCTCATTTCCTTGTATCTTATTTATGCAGGACATATTTACTAGACTTGTCAGAGAGAGACTGTTTTGGGACTAAAGGCAAAGAGTGAAAGGTTTTATTTTTATGGTCATAACTCCAAAACTAATAAAATGCATCAAAATCAATGTTGTTGTCAGTTATTGGCTGTAAGGATATAATAACCTTATGCCAAATATTCCACTTTGCACCTTTTCTTTGAAAATATAGCATATTTTGTATTTTTCTCATTCAAAATTCAAATTCAAAACTGTTTTGATCCCACAGGGAAATTAGATTTAAAAAAAATCAATCACCACCCAAAACAAAAACAAACCAATATCCTAAAAATCAGCTTTTTCCACAGAAAGGCAGGAATTAACACCCAAAAAGAAAAGAAAATCTCAATAAAAATAGAGCTACTCTGACGTGCTGCCACCCTGGTTTTTCCAACAAAAATGTTATAAAATTGTAAAAAATATGAAACAATTATACAAAATGTTCTATGTATTGTTAGGTTTGAAGCTGTATAAAAGATTTCATGCAGTAAAAGTAAAAATATATTTATACATGACACATTTATTGGACTTTTCTGAGAAGGACCATTTYGGGTCTTTAACTCAACCTTTGATCTGTGGCCTGACGATGGTTTACCTGTCCAGGTGTAACCCTGCTCTTACATTTTGACTGTTAAGYTCCAGTCCCCTTCCTCCTCATTCCAAACACTTTGAGCTCTGAAGAACTGGAATGTRATGTGTTCCTGGTGGAGCTCACTTACTCTGTGTGCTGAACAACTGGAACTGTGCCGAGACGAACGTAGGAACTCTGACCGTCGTCATCTCTGGTTCCCAGAATGTCTTTCACACTGAAGTACTCCATCAGGTCAAACCCTGCAATTTAGAATAAAATTAACTGGTTAGAAAGTCTCAACACACATCCACACATACACACACACACACACACACACACACACACACACACA